CACCCACCCCCCGCCACGGGCAGCTTTCGCCTCTCCATGCAGATGCAATCGGGAAGAAAAAGGCCGTGCACGACAACGTTACATCATGAAAAGCTAACGGCTCCCAGTAAGCCCGGGTTCAAAGTCTGTCCCCCCTCCTCCCGGCAGACACATACCCTGCAAGGAAACATTAGCTGTCGCCCGTCTCCCAGCCCTCCTTTTGCCTTCCCTTTGTGCAAGACTCTATTAGCGAAACATGCAGCAAGGAAGGGAAAGAAAGCAGCCTGGGTGAAATAAGCTCTTCCACATGCAGCCAGGTAGGGAATAGCCTTGTCTGGAGGGGCCCGCTGGCAGGGAGGCGAGGCTGATGTCCCCCCCCTCCCCATGCGCTCACCTTTACGATTTCTTCTCAGCCCTGAGATAAAGCTAGAATTTTGTCACCGTCCTCTGGAGTTAAAGATCTCCGCGCACTTGTAGGTGTTCGATTAAAAAAAAAAAATCGTTTCCCTACCCTCAAGAAATAGTAATTTGCTTCCTCAGTCTATGCAGCTCCTCAGTCAACTGAAACCACTCGTTCAAGACAGCAACAATCCAGATATACTAGCAAGTCATAAAACTGAACAAAAGCCGACAAACCTTAGAGCACCATCGCTATATGGCCCAGACAAATTACGACCGTCTAGGTAATATTTAAATAGATTCCTAAAGTAATTGCAGGGGGTTTAGGCAACTATTCCTGTTGTAAAAGTTCTCGAAGACATAAAGTAGAACCTGAGGATAAACAGTCACAAAAAGAGGTAAAATTAAAAGGATTCATTCCACGGTTTTTTATTCTTCTATGACAACATAAACATCGTCTTTTTCACGCACAGCAGCATTACAATATTAATTTATTCCGATTTAAGGTAAGAACTAAATATAGCTAGAACTAACATTTATAATAACGATAGAATGCATTTGCTTAAAACAGTATCGGCATTTTAATAATAATAGACATTTATACATATCTGTATTTATAGTTTTTCCCCTTCTTTCTTTTTTTTTTCTCTTTTAAATTTTTTTCACCACTATGTTTGACCCTTTAATGCATGTAACTTCACAGTATAAAGGAAGACGAACATATTCTCCCTCGCAATCTCAGACTCTGGCTCAGAAAGTCCTTCTGATGTTCAGAATATATACTTTTCAGTGAAATTAGTGAGGAAAAAGTGAATACTTTCTTCTCAAGGGGGAATTTCTGTGTGCTTGTCTTGCGTTACCAACGGTAACGTTGTTTATAGACCAAAAAAATCACTAATTCCACATATTTAAGCAAAACTACATGAAGTAAATATCTACAACCAGAAAGAGCGAGAGAAATTCAGAGGTAAGTGTCATAATTTAGTCCATGAGCAACACGAACTCTTTTATACCTTTAAAGAGAAGAGATTTCATTTTCCTGGCCAATTTTAAAGCTGTAATACTGACTTTCAAGGTAAAGCAAAAAAAGAATCGCTCTTTACACCCGTTCCCATGAAGCCCTTTTAAAGGATGCCTGCATTTCATTATTGTAAGTCCTGCTTTTCGAAGGAAAAAAGGGGGAGGGGGGAGAAAAGGAAAAGGGGGGGGGGGGAGACTCACAAGTATATGAAAAGAGAAAGGGGTGAAAT